TTAAAAAAACGTGAAACCTGGTGAGTGGGTTGCACTTGCCGAAGGCAGCACCCTCCAGTCCACCTTTGCAGAGGGAAGCGTGGAGTGAGCCGGGCAGGATTTTGATAACGCATGGCATTTGGGGGCAAAGTGCGGACCGCAGAATGGACCACTTGCCTAGAATGTGAGGGGCAAAGGAGAAAGAGCTGACAGGTTTTATGTAGCTTAGGGCTAGCCCGTGACCTCCTTAAAACATATCACCTGCGGGGAAGGTGGCCTGACTTTTCCACTTCACGAGTGTGTCTGATACAAGGCCCCAGCGGGAGGATGTAGAGGCAGAACCCTCCGTGATTACCAGCTTCCAGTCTTGGAAGGGAAAGACCTCATTTTTAAGGTGTCCCATCAGGCCCCCACGGTCAGGCAAACACACGTGGCTTGTACAGAATGCAGGATTGCTCATCTGCAGTCAGGGCCACCACGACCTAGAGGGGTAGAGTCTACCCACACATCTAAAGCATAAGTCAGTTGGGGCGCCTGGATGGCTCAGTCAGTTGAGCGTCTGACTTCGGCTCAGGTCATGATCTCACGGTTCATGGGTTTGAGCCCCGCGTCGGGCCCTGTGCTGACAGCTCGGAGCCTGGAGCCTGCTTTGGATTCTGTGTCTCCCTCTCTCTCTGCCCCTCCCCTGCTCATGTTCCGTCTCTCTCTGTCTCTCAAAAATAAACGTTCAAAAAAAAAGCATAAGGCAGAAAGCAAGCTCCAGGAGAGAGGGATGATTAAAGGCTGTAGAGGCTGGAAGACAAAGTGAGCTCATCTGGTTGAGGGCCAGTGGGGACTCTTGAAATTGGTAGGGGCAGTTGGGGCCAGTGGCAGGGACACTTAATTGGCCAGCAGCATCTGTTTCTCTTGGGAACTTACTAGAAACGCAGACTCAGACCCACTGTTGACCTGCTGTAACATAATCTGCATTTCCACGAGATCTCCAGGGGTTCGTACCCACCATAACCTTGGAGATCTGCTTCTCTGACTCCGTATCCTCTACCCTGGCTACACCGTAGAACTGCCTGGGCGATTCTGAAAAATAGGAATGTGCAAATGCCTAGTCTCTGTGCCCAAAGATTCTGGTTTCATTGGTCTGGGGCAAGACCTAAGCATCACCTAAGCATCGAGTCTTTTTTTGGGAACTTTCTGTGTGGTTCTTTTGTCCAGCAAACTTCGAGAACCGGAGTGGAGAGGGAGATGGGCAGGCGAGGGGAACGTCTTGGGGGCTGTGGAGCGTGGGTGCATCTCAAGACCCACAGGTTCGAGCCCCACTGGCCCAGGTTAGCAGGCTGCAGGGACACGTCCTCCCCACGCCAGGAGGGAGTGAGGAGGAGGTGCACTGAGGGGGGAGGGGCAGCTCTGACAGGGACACCTGGGCAGTGGCAGGGATGAGCCGAAACCCAAGATTTGCCTGGATTGCTGTGGTCCTCGAATTTGAGCATATATCCAGATCACCTGGAGGCCTTATTCATCAGCTGGACCCCACCCCGGCATTTCTGGTTGGCTCAAACTGGGGTAGGGCCAAGAATTTGCATGGGAATTTGGTAGGCCCCGGGGACACGAGCTGTGGCATGGTGGACAAGTCACTTACACCTCCTTGCCCTCAGTTTCCTCATTGGTAGAATGTTTGATTTTGCAGATCATGGTTTTCCCAACTTTGGCAAATGTCAAAGGCCTCCATGTCTTGAGGCCAGATAATTCTAGCAAACCGCCCCCCCCCCCCCCCCCCCCCCCCCCTAGTTGTGACAACAAAAAAGTCTCCAGCCATGGCCAGATGTCCCCTGGGGAGGGGGGGGCAGGTGCAAAATCATCCCCCCCTCGCCCACATTTGAGACCACTCATTTCGACATAGCTCTCCATGTTTGTTTTCTTTGGTGAGTGACAAATACAGCTTTTCTTACTCGGTGGAAACGTGTGTCGGAATTATTATTTCCAGAACAGAACAAAATTCCTCTGAAAGCTATGTATTTGATGAGGAGCCGTGTGTGGCTGGCACAGTGTCCTTCTAGTAAAAGGAAGGCTGTTTGAGAAAGTGGCTATTAAGTGTATGTGCTTTGTCACCAAATTGCCTGGTTGGTAACTTGGGGTGCCCTGAGGTGCCCCACTTACCAACTGTTAGACACCTGGCAAGTTTCTTTTTTTTTTTTTCCTTGTAAAGTTTTATTTCTTAACCAATTTTAGACTTCTAGAAAAGTTGCAGAAATCGTGTAGAGGCGCCACGTATCCCTCCCCCACCTCCCGAAACTCGGCATCTTGCATATCTGTAGTACAGGTTCTTAACTGCTTCTGGCTGTTTCGTCATCTCTAAAATGAGGATATGCCCCCATCTCGTGCAGCTATTAAGAGGACTTAACAGGATAACTCATGTAAAATACTCAGAAAAGCGCCCGGTGCCTTCCAAGCGCTCAGAAAACGCCAGTTACTATTTTGTGGTTATTCTGTGTGGTTTTAAAATCTTTGAAAGCGGTTAAGTTTTTAGTGGAGAAACAGACCCCCATGAGGGAGGAGTGTACCTGACCTACAGGTGCACAGTGTGTGGCTGCCTGTGTGCTCACCCCGACCTGGCTGGGCCCGGGGTTTAATCCATACGATCCCAGCCCACCTGCTTGCCTCTGCCCACCCCCCCCCCTCCCCTGACATCCTGAAGGACCTCTGGACTCTATCGGGGCCTCCTGGACCCTGACCACTGCATTCCAAGGCTCATCCCGCGGACCTCGGTTGTTCCTAAGACGATGAGAAAATGCCAGGCAGGCAGTCTCCCGTCCTGTCCAGCGTGAGCCCAGCGAACAGAGCCTGCCACCAGCACTGATGCCCCAGCGTTAACTGCAGCCTTGAATCGGCTCAACGCTGTCCCTCAAGGGCGCCCCCTACAGATGCACGCCGCCCTCCCTCCAGCGCACCATAAAGTCTCACTGAGCGCCAGGTTCCTGGGCCTCCATGTTGCAGGAGGGAAGGCTGACTCAGACTGTCAGCAGAAAGGGCCCTAGGTCAGCCTTCGCCCAAAGGTATCCGAGCCGTTGGTAAATAGCAATTGAACTCACTCCCCCGCCCCTTAGGATGGTGACTGTTCAGTGTATTTTATGGGGGAGGACCGGGGTCAGAGAGAGCCCAGCCTTCACCACCCACGTAAGCCGCAGGGTGGCCGGGAGGCCGGAGGTCGTGTGCAAGGCTCTGGAGACCACCTCTGCCGCAAAGGCATCGACATTCCCTTCGCAGAAGAGAAGTTTCGGTCTCAAACTAATTGCCGTGAGCTCAAATGCGTGTGGCCTTCCGGGCCTCGCTTTGGGAAAGGAGCTGAATCCTAATTATGGAACTGTCACACGTTCCGGTGAGTGCCCGTTCTTCCACACACTGGAGAGAGCCTTGTTCTGCCATACACGGTCCAGTGGTTTCGTGTCTTTCCCCTTATTTAGGCTCCAGCTGTCTCTTTCATAAATGCTCGAGCTCGCGCGCGCTCTCTCTCTCTCTCTCTCTCTGTCTCTCTCTGTCTCTCTCTCTCTCTCTCTCTCTCTCTCTCTCTCTCCCGGACACACACACCTACCTGCAGCCCAATCTCCACAGAACCCTTGGCTATTCCAAATACCCCGAACGCGGCTGACAGGACGGGAGCTCATTCAAAACCTTGCACTGGTCCCCCCGGCTTTTGGGTTTTGCTTTCGGGAGCCCCGACAAGCTGGAACTACCCGAGAGACATTCCGAGGGGCCCGCCTGAACAAGTGCGCCCCTCCTGCCTTCCCGCCTTCTGTCACTGATCATCTTTGCAAGCGCTCTTTCCAGGGCACTGGGTGTGAAAATGGTGATCTCCTTTCTGTCTCTCCTCCCGGGGCTGTAAGAATGATCTAGAATATAGAGCCAGCCAGCTCAAGCTTTAGCATATATCCCCACCATTTAAGAAAAAGTCTCATCTTTTTAGAAAGGCACGAATAGCCCCGGGGATGTAGCTCGAGCCTCGCTTTGGTTCTGGGGCTCCCTCCACTCCTCACCATCTACAGGGCACTCCGTCCCTGAAGGGGTGAGCTGTGTTCATGCCATCGGTTCTAGAGATGCAGTCTGAGGAGGTAAACCAGGCTGAGGACCACGACTGCGGTGACGATGGTCACCTTAACAGTTTCCGTGTTAGCTGCTAGACTTTTAAAAAAGAAAAAAAACTTTTATAAGTTTATTTTGAGAGAGACAGAGAGAGAGCAGGGGAGGGGAAGCCAGAGAGGGAGAGGAGAATCCCAATCGGGCTCCACGCTGTCAGTGCAGAGCCCGACACGGGGCTGGAACCCACAGACCGTGAGATCGTGACCTGAGCGGAAACCCAGGGTCAGATGCTCAACCGACAGAGCCACACAGGCGCCCCGTTGACTGCTGCTTTTCAGCGTTTTCTGGATGCCACTCTCTTCAGGGGCTTTATTTCATTTAAACAAAGAACAAGCCCAGCCGGTAGGTACCAGTGCCCTCTCGATCACGCAGCGGCCACGAGCCCAGGCTCCAGAATCCACTCGCCTGGCTTCAGTCCGGGTGCCACCACCTTGGAGCGATGTCAGGTTGGGCAGACTGTTCCACTGCTCAGTGCTTGTGTTTCATCATCGAGAGACGGGGCTGGTGGCAGTGAAGTGCCCCCGCTCCCCGCCGGCAAAGGATCGTGGTGAAAAGCAAATGAATGAATACGGAAGTGCTCAGAACAATGCCTGGCCAGAGATGAGTGCTAGTGCATTTCCAGGGTAACTACAGGGAGGGTTAAACACCCGCTTGCTGTTCACTCTCAGCCGCTGTGTTGTAAATACAGAAACAGGCGGCCAGATTTCTTTTAGACAGGCACCCCGCGCCCACCAGCGGAGGGTCCAGGGTGCCGTCGCTTTGCCTGTCCTTCCACGAAGGGGGCCAGGGAGCAGGTGTCCGTGTTGGCTATGGACATGCTTCCCAGCCCTAGCTACCACTCCGCCCCTGGGACACACGGCGGAGGGACCTTTCTCCGTTGACTCGTTCCCCAGGTAAAAAGCATCCAGGACGCGATCCGAGACAAGAAGCAGCGGTTCAGCTTCCTCGGGGAGGAGATCTGCCTGAATCCCTCCGTGGGGATCTTCATCACCATGAACCCGGGCTACGCCGGCCGCACGGAGCTGCCGGAGAATCTCAAGGCTCTGTTCAGGTGAGCGTCTGCTCTGCCCCACACGAGGGCCCCCGGAGACAAGGGTCTCCTGGTTTTTTCCACTGAAAATGTAGGGCGTGTATATTAGAAGACATTTGGAACATCTAAAAAAGCTTATAAAACTACCTTTAGGGGTGCCTGCGTGGCTCAGTTGGTTAAGCATCTGACTCTTTGTTTCGGCTCAGGTGGTTCTGTGGGTTCAAACCCCACGTCGGGCTCTGCGTTGACAGTGTGGAGCCTGCTTGGGATTCTCTCTCCCTCTCTCTCCCTTTCTCTCTGCCCCTCCTGCGTGCGTGTGCGCATTCTCTCTCTCTCTCTCTCTCTCAAAATAAACTTTAAAAAAAAATGAAAAAACCTTTAATGCTACCATCAGTAAAATTATTTTTTGCTTAGCTGTATTTAAAATATGTGTATTTAAAAATTTTTTTTAATGTTTATTTTTGAGACAGGGGGAGACACAACATGAGCAGGGGAGGGGCAGAGAGAGCGAGAGAGAGGGAGACGCAGAATCCGAAGCAGACTCCAGGCTCTGAGCTGTCAGCACAGAACCCAACGGCAGGGCTCGAACTCAATGACTGTGAGATCATGACCTGAGCCGAAGTCAGACGCTCAACCAACTGAGCCACCCAGGCGCCCCAAAATATGCATATTTTAAAGTCATGGACTTGTGGTCCACACACGGTTTCTTTTTATAAGTTTAATTTTTTTTTCATGTTTTATTTTATTTTTGAGAGCCAGGGAGCAGGGGAGGGACAGAGAGAGGAGACACAGAATCCGAAGCAGGCTCCAGGCTCTGAGCTGTCAGCACAGAGCCCCACATGGGGCTCGAACTCACGAACCGTGAGATCATGACCTGAGCTGAAGTCTGACATTTAACTGACTGAGTCACCCCGGCGCCCCCCCCCCCCCCAGTTTCATACTGTTTTGTCTTTTTCGTTTCATACTCGATCGTAATCCTATCACAAATAACCTCTTCTGTTAGATGGTCTTAAGAAATCTCCTTTCGTGACTACACGTTATTCTATCAAGTGTGTGGTCCACAGTGTAATTAAGTAACCCTCCATATTTAAACGTTAGGACCTTGTCTAGCACTTAAGACAAATTTATTCATAATGCTGTGATGTCCACCTATGTACCTAAGTGTTTTTTTCTGTATGCGTGATGATTTTCTTTGGCTAAGCTTCCCAGAAGTAGAATCACAGAGCTAACTGGGAAGGCACGTTTTTAAGGCTCCTGATGCACACTGACAAATGGCTTTCTAGAAAGAGCAGTGCCGAATTACACTCCTGGTAGCGATGTGTGAGAACACGTATCTTTTCCTTCGCCTTGGCCACCCCCGGTGGATATTGTCATGCGTTTAAATCTTCTTTATTGTGATAAGAAAACGCAAATGCATTTTCTAGAAGGGGCTGGGGTCTCCATTCTTTTTCTCGGGAAAGGAAAGTCAGCCCAACAAAATAAAGAGGCCTCACGGCTTCTGATTTTCTGCCTACTGGACTGTTCCTAATGGAACATCACCAGGCCTGAACGGATGGCACAGAATAGGTCTGTTGTTTGTTTGCACCAAATTATGTATTAAATGCACTTGGGTTGCAAACAGTAACGGAGGTCAGGACTACTCTACGTTTCTTTTTCCCTGAGCGTAAAGGCAACATTTATCTATAGAAGAAAATTGGGGGTGGGGGGGGTGGAGAAAATATTTATAGAAACAATAAAAGGGACACCTGGGTGGCTCAGTCGGTTGAACATCCTGCTCTTGGTTTTGGCTCAGGTCATGATCTCACGGTGCGTGAGTTCGAACCCCACGTTGGGCTCTGTGCTGATGGTGTGGAGCCTGCTTGGGATTCTCTCTCTCCTTATCTCTCTGTCCCTCCCCTGTTCTCTCTTTCTCTCTCTCAAATTAAATAAATAAAAACTTTAAAAATAAGCGATAAATACAAACATCTGCTTTTACGCCTTGTTTTCAAAAAGCCCCGTGAGGAAGACACTATTCGTGCCCCCCTTGTTCAGGGAGAAAACAGAGTCCGCAAAGGCCCAGGGTAGTAATCGTGATCACCGGGGTTAGCCAGTAGCCCAAGGAGCAAGCCGCAGAACTGGGGTTCTAACCCAGTCGGTCTGATTCCAGAACCTCGGCCCTCCCCATCTGAATGCTTTCATCCAGAGATCATGTGACCCTTTGGCATTCCTCCTTCTGACCTTGGGTGGGCAGACTATATTCCTTTTTTGAACTTGGGATAAGACCCTGTACAAGTTGGTATCCTGCCTTCGTTAATTAATATTTTCCCGTGTCAGGGACGCCTGGGTGGCTTAGTCGGTTAAGCATCAGACTTCAGCTCAGGCATAATCTTCTGGTTTGTGGGTTCGAGCCCCACATCGGGCTCTGTGCTGACAGCTCAGAGCCTGGAGCCTGCTTCGGATTCTGTGTCTCCCTCCTCTCTGCCCTTCCCCCACTCACGCTCTGTCTGTCTCTCTCAAAAATAAATAAACATTAAAAAAATTTAAGAAAAATTTTTCCCGTACCATTAAATAGTTTTCCTTCTATAGCATTATTTTCCACAGCCGTGTTGCATGCTATTGTATGGATGCATGTTTAACCTTATTTCAGGTTGCAAAATATTTCAGGTTGAGAATCTGTTTGAATGCCATGAAAAATAATTTAAAGGAAAAATGTTCTTGAGCTATATGTTAGTGAAAATCTTATATCCGCATGGGGAAAATGCGATTAAAGAACTGTAAATGACCTTAGGCTCCTGGTATATACCTAATAAACTAACTTGAAAAATAAGTGATTTTGCAATCAAATGTTTCTAGAGCCAGGCAGGAAAAAAAATCAAAGTAAATCCTTACAGAAAGACAAAAATTCCCCTATATACCGTTTTGTGGCAAGATGGGGTTAATGGGTATTTACTTGAGACCTCGGCATTAGATACTTAGATTTGTACGCACATAAGTACAGAATAGGCCCCGAGCGTCTAGGCTTGGAGGAGACGCACGTCTTGAAAATGAGATATAGATTCTTGTGGACCCCAGGAGAGACCCGATTCTTCAACCAGAGTCCCTAATCTATTATAGGAACAACTAATCTAATAAATTACTAATTACCAAAGCTTTACTGATCTGTGCCTGTGGAAGGCTCACTGGACCCAGGTTACAACATGAGCTGTAGCCCCGATCCTGTCCCCACCTGCTACTATCACCCATCACCTTGGACAAGACAACTCACGTCCCATACCCTTCATCACTTCATCTGTAAGTTGGAAGTCTTAGACGAAACCATTGCTAAGGGCCAAGATGTTTATCCTCACAGATGCCTCTGTCCGTGATCCCAGCCAGTGTCTGTTGTCTTACCAGCACCGCCCCCCTCTGCCACCCTTCAGCCGTGGTTAGGAAAACTATCTTGGCCCCCTGTCCCCTGTTCACAGGCCTTGCGCGATGGTGGTTCCAGACTTCGAGTTGATCTGTGAGATCATGCTGGTGGCAGAAGGATTCATTGAAGCACGGGCGTTGGCCAGAAAGTTCATCACCCTTTATCGGTTGTGCAAAGAGCTGCTCTCTAAACAGGTACTCTCTCTAGTGACGCTGGACCACCAGTCACGTGATCGCCCCACCTCTGGACGGGGCTCGGGGCCGATGTCATAGGGAAACATTAGAGCCTTCTGTCAATGCGCCCATAAGCATAGTATGAGTTCTGCACACTTCCACAACAAAGATTCGTATTCATTTTCTTAGCGTTAAAAAAAAAAATCTTACTCGGCCCCCAAACTTATTTTTTTTCACAGACTAGTTAGCACCTCATCGACCACCTGTGTCCCGTGAGAAACACCTCAGTGGCCACTGAAACTCCCTTGGAGGGAACGGTCTCTACCCAGAGGGACACGAGATGGGGGAGAGGGTTGGGGAGATAGTCATCGAGCCCCATGTACCTCACCACTTGTCCTTAAATGTGGCTGCTGCCTAGGGGAGGCCCCCACACAGGAATAGCACCTTAAAACATGCCGAAGGGGGCACCTGGGTGGCTCATTTGGTTAAGTCTCTGACTCTTGGTTTCTGCGCAGGTCATGATCTCCCAGTTTTGTGGGTTTGAGCCCCATGTCAGGCTCTGTGCCGACCGCTCAGAGCCTGGAGACTGCTTGGCATTCTCTCTCTCCCTCGCTCCCTGCCCCTCCCCCGCTCGTGCCGTCTCTATCGCAAAATAAATAAACTTAAAAAAAAAAAATGCCGAAGGGGGCACCCGAGTGGTTCAGTCAGTTAAGTGTCCAACTCTTGATCTCAGCTTGGGTCTTGATCTCAGGGTCGTGAGTTCAGGTCCCATGTTGGGCTCTGCACGGGACGGGATGTGACGGAGAATCTCTTGGTGGCAGGACAGCCAGTCAGCCTTCCTTGGGCTGTTCCCACTGAGTTTCTCCTCCGTCCGGGGCTCACAGGGACCATCTTTGCTGCCACAGCACGGGGAACACCCGGCCCTGTGAAATCTGTCCAAGGTGGATTTCTTTAAAAACCTCTCCTGTTGCCTCATGCTTCCCAGGCCCCTTGGTCATTGCATTCTTTCCGTAGATTCCCCACCACCACTAACGTCCAGGCCAGCGACCGACATTCACAACTCCACCCTGAGCCTCTCTTGTGACCTCCAAACCCTCATATTCACTGGTTTCTGCCACAGGTCCCCACCCCACCCCAGCCCGCTTCCCCCACATTCCTTGCTTCACTACGCGAAACCGTCACTTACTTGCTTGCTGATTCTGGAACCCTGGGAGTCCTCCTCGGCATTTTCGTCTTCCACAGCCCTGCACCTAACCACGGACGAGCTGTTGTTCGTTGCCCGCTCTGGCCCTCTCTCAAATCCGTCTCGTTTTCTTTCTACCACCTTCAATCCAAGCCCCCCTGTCTCTTGCTTAAACTCTTGGAATTTCCTTTCTCCTGGTTGCTACCAGTGATTGTTTTCAGTTGCTTTCCTCAGAGAGTTTGGAGGCCTCCAAGGTGTAGAGCTTGTGAGCTCAGCCTCCGCCATATCTAAGCCAACATGGCTGCCTCCCGGATACCCTTCAGCTCTCTGAATGTACAAGGAGAAGCCGGGTGGGTCGGGAAGTGGTTCTGTTTGGTTTCTCCGACCCTCAGCCCCCGGGATGCTCTGGGTCTGCTTTGTCATCATCCGTGACCCTGATGTCCCGTGTCATTGGTCTTGCCCTGTGCCTCTGCCTTGGCCTCGGAAGTGACCCGCTGGTAATTGTGTGGACGCCAGCACGGGCACGTGGCGCTCTGCATCCCAGCGACTCTGGCCTGACCCGTGCCGCCTTCCCTCAGGACCACTATGACTGGGGCCTGCGGGCCATCAAGTCGGTGCTGGTGGTGGCGGGATCCCTGAAGCGAGGAGACCCTGACCGCCCCGAGGACCAGGTCCTGATGCGCTCCCTCAGAGACTTCAACATCCCCAAGATCGTGACCGATGATGTGCCAGTGTTCATGGGCCTGATTGGGGACCTCTTTCCTGCCCTGGATGTCCCTCGGAGGAGAGACCTCAACTTCGAAGCCTTGGTTCGGAAGGCCGTGGTGGAGCTGAAGCTCCAGGCCGAGGACAACTTTGTGCTCAAGGTACACGGTTCTCCCTCCCAAGCTCTTCTTGTCGCTCAACGCTTTTCTTGGATGATGGGTCGTCCTCAATCCAAAGGGTTGCCTTAGATGTACAAATATGTATCTACCCAGTAGGAATTCGTTTCAAGAGCTCTTTACTGGGGCACCCACCATGCAGAATGTGTGGTGGGGAATGTGAGGGAAGGACGGGGCCCCTGCCATCAGAAGGCTCACGATCCGGCAGAGGAACACGAGCCATTCCGCTGCTGCTTCACGTGTTATTTTCCCATGAACTACTTCAGACGTGATTTCAGAGCAATGATGAAATTGGAAGTCATGCTGGTTCTTAGGCAGTTTTCCGAGCTTGGGAACGTTCTGAAGTGGTCAGGGGCAAGCTTTCTCACAATTAAGGGAAGAAAAACAAACAAACCCTGAGTGTGGCAGGCAGGATAATGTCTGCAGCCCAGTCCCCAGGACGTACGTTATGTTACATGGCAAGAGGAGATGAGGGCTGCAGGTGGAATGAAGGCTGCTAACGGGCTGACCTTAAGATGGGACGATGATCATGGGTTACCTAGGTGGCCCTATATAACCATGGTGGTCTTTAAGATTTATTTGAAGTGTATTTATTTTGAGAGAGAGAGAGAGAGATCGCACCCGTAGGGGAGGGGCAGAAAGAGAGAATCCCAAGCAGGTTCCGTGCTGTAGGCACACAACCCGATGCAGGGCTAGAACTCACCAACCGTGAGATCGTGATCTGAGCCGAAACCAAGAGTCGGACACTTGACCAACTGGACCACCCAGGTGCCCCATGACGGTGGTCGTTGTAAATGAAAGAGGGACACAGGAGGACGTGTCCATAGTTATCTCCATAACTCCATAGTTAAAATTCCACCAGCCATTACTGACTTTGAAGGTGGAGGAGGGGGCCATGCACCAGGAAATGCGGGAGGCGTCTAGATGCTGGAAAAGGCAAGAAACGGATGCTCCCATAGAAGGCCCCAGAAGGGACGGGCCCTGTCAACACCTTGTTGCCCCACTTTGTGAGACCCACTTTGGACTTCTGACCACCTAAGCTGTGAGATAATGACTTTGGGTTGTTTCAAGCCAACACTTTTGTGGTAATTTGTTAGAGCAGCAACAGAAAATGAGTCTGCTTACCAGTACGTATAGAGTTTCAGGGAAAAAAAATCTGAAACTTCAGGGAAAGTATAATAGGTTTCGAGGCCTTTGGAGCCATGGTGGTTTCTACTATTTTCTGGAGGATGCTCAGGACAGGTGAAGACATTTCTCTCCTTGCATTAAAACAGTGGATTAAAGAGAAGGGCTCTGTCTAGAACAGATCTTTAATCATGATTAAAATGGTCTTTATTAGAAGTGAGTGTGCCCATGACCTACCTCTTGGAAAAGGAAGCACACAGGTACCCCAGTTGGGGCACCCGGCTGGCCCAGTCTGTGGAGCCTGGAACTCCTGATCACAGGGTTGCAAGTTCAAGCCCCACACTGGGCATAGAGATTACTTTTTAAAAATCCTATGAAAAAAAAAAAAAATAGGGGCACCTGGCTGGCTCAGTCAGAGGAGCGTGTGACTCTCGATCTTGAGGTCGGGAGTTCGAGCCTCATGTTGGGTGTAGAAATTTCTAAGAAAAGTTGCACAATGAACTGTAAACTGTGGTTTATAAATAAAATATATAAATAATATAAAAACATTGAGAAAGATAGCGTGCAAGAGAGAGAAAAGATTGGCCAACGTGAGGCAAGGAGCAAACGCTCTAGCGATTTAACTGTGCTAACATTTTTCCTAGGATTAGGATGCATTGTCAAAATTTTTCGGGCTTTGGATACAAAGTTCTGCACTTTTTAAAAAAATGTTTTAACATTTATTTACTTTTGAGAGACAGAGACAGAGTACAAGCAGGGGAGGGGCAGAGAGAGAGAGGGAGACACAGAATCCGAAGCAGGCTCCAGGCTCTGAGCCATCAGCACAGAGCCCAACGCGGGGCTCGAACTCACAAGCCATGAGATCATGACCTGAGCCAAAGTCGAATGCCCGCCCGACTGAGCCGCCCAGACTCCCCTCTAAGTTCTGTCCCTTTTGACTGGTCCGCCCCAATCCCGTTTTTCCGTAAGTCTGTCGTTTTTACTGAGCACCTTTGCAGACAGTCACGTTTTCAGGAGGCGTGACTGTTGCAACAGTAGATGTATCTGCCCACAAGTAACTATACCTTGAAGGAGGGTGTGACAGGTGCCACAAGAGAGGGTCCCAGGGTACAGGAGCATGGCTGGATTGTTTTCCTGTGCAGTGATATCTTTAGGAATTCTGTGAACGCTGCTTGAGAGCTCGCGGGTGTCTTACTTTATGTATCACATCTGACCCTCCCCTGCCCCCCTCCCCCCTCCCCCCGAACCACCGAGGCCGATGGAGCAGGTGAGATACTTTACAGATGAGGAAGCTGGACGGCCATTACTTCTGCAGGATATGCCACTGAGGGTTTCATGAGCGAGAACGTGCTCCCCCTTGAGGACGTTAATGGACTAGAGGGCCTTGTTCCTTCTATGCCATGGGGCGCCATAAAAGCCTCCTGGAGGCTTTTCTAGCATGGAATACAATACAATTGGTTGAGATTAAGCCCCAGCGGCTGTATATAAATAGAATTGCAAATTGGTGTCTGCTCGCATCTCTGAGATTACATTTCACCGAGGAAAGCAAAACTTTACCTGGTCCTTCACAGCTGTGACTGTGTTTTGCCTGTCTATCCCCACACCCAACCTCCCTCCTCCCAAGTGTGGTGGATAGACTTTTTCTTTTTAAAAAAATTTTTTTTTCAATGTTTATTTATTTTTGGGACAGAGAGAGACAGAGCATGAACGGGGGAGGGGCAGAGAGAGAGGGAGACACAGAATCGGATGGCTCCAAGCCATCAGCCCAGAGCCCGACGCGGGGCTCGAACTCACGGACCGCGAGATCGTGACCTGGCTGAAGTCAGACGCTTAACCGACTGCGCCACCCAGGCGCCCCATGAAAATGCAAGAGTCTGGATAACAGAGAAGGTTGATCTAGGTTATGCAACGTGTGACCAATGGGAATTTTAGAAAGAACTTTCTAGAGCTGGAGAAACAGATGTTTGGTTTTGTTTGTATTTAAATTCCAGTTGAGGGGCACCTGGGTGGCTCAGTCAGGTGAGCATCCAGCTTTGGCTCAGGTCAGGATCTCATGGTGCGTGGGTTTGAGCCCCATGTCGGGCTCTGTGCTGACAGCTCGGAGCCTGGAGCCTGCTTCAGATTCTGTGCCTCCCTCTCTTTCTGCCCCTCCCCTGCTCATGCTCTGTCTCTGTCTCTCCAAAATAAATGTTAAAAAAAATTGTTTTTAATTCCAGTTGACATACAGTGTAATATTAGTCTCAGGTATACAACAATATATTGATTCAGCAATTCCCATACATCACCCGATGCTCATCACTAACGTGCCCCCCTTAACCCCCATCCCTGATTTCACCCATCCCCCTGACCACCTCCCCGCTGGTAGCCATCAGTATGTTCTCTATAGCTAAGAGTCTGTTTCTTGATTTGTCTCCTTTTATTCCCTTTACTCATTTGTGTCTCAAATTCCACATTTGAGTGAGATCATACGGTATTTGTCTTCCTCTGACTGACTTATTTCGCTTAGTGTTATGTTCTCTAGCTCCGTCCACATCACTGCGAATGGCAAGATTTCATTCTTTTTTAAGGCTGAATAACATCCCATTGCATGTATATACCACATCTTTATCCATTTCCTCCGTCAGTGGACATTCGGGTTGCTTCCATATCTTGGCCATTGTAAATAACGCTGCTATAGACATCGGGGTTATGCACCCTTTTGAATGGTACTTGAAGACCTACTATGGAAAACTGAGGGTGAAAAATAATAATGCCACGGGTTTCAAAACACCAAGAATCAGAAAAAGAAACCTTAGCATTATAGCTGTCAGCAGACCTAGAAAGCGATCCATCCAAATCAGGGCAGGAAGTTCACAGTCTCCAACAAAAGACCTCAAAATGGATATGCTGAGGCAAGAATAGATCATCATGATGAAAGTTTATGTAATTTTATTAAACTTCTAAGGCAAACGTCTTTTATTTTAACAAAGAAAAAGGAAAGCAATTAGAACACCAAGAGAAAAAAGTCACGGTCTGAAACTTTTCTGAATATTTATTTATTTATTTTGAGAGAGAAAAGAGGGAAAGAGAATTCTAAGCAGGCCCCATGCTGTCAGCACAGAGCCCAACACGGGGTCAAACCAGGAGATCATGACCTGAGCCGAAACCAAGAGTTGGATGCTTGAGTGACTGAGCCACCCAGGCATCCCCCAATTAAAAAAAAATTTTTTTTTAATGTTTTATTTTTGACAGAGACGGCATGTGTGGGGGAGGAGCAGAGAGAGAGGGAGACAGAGAATCCAAAGCAGGCTCCAGGCTCTGAGATGTCAACACAGAGCCCAACACGGGGCTCAAACCCAGAAACTGTGAGATCATGACCTGAGCCGAAGTCAGACGCCTGACTGAGCCACCCAGGCGCCCCCCCAATTTTTTTTTAAGTAAACAGAACCTGATATTGATCAACATATGGAGTGTAAGAAAAGAGTATCCATGGGTTAATGCTGAGAACATCATGTGTCAGGTCATGACACCAGGCTCATAGAGAACACAACACATTCCAGGCAACTACTTTCTCCTGCAATGAAAAATCTCTATGGCCATAAAAACACAAGTCATGACTGGTCTTCAACCCTTACAATCCCAGAAAACAGAGAAGGTCTGGATATATGGATAGAATGGCATGTAACTATTATCAAACATAGCAACGTAAGGGTATAATGCATCTGGCTGAAGATAGGAGAGAAAGGGAAGGACAGGGATACTGTCAAAAGCTGATAGATTCATAATAGTTGGAGAATAGAAATGACCCATCCATCGGTTGGTACACAGATAATCAAATTGTGACCCACCTACACAGCGGAATTTGATTCAACCATAAAGGAAGGAAGGGCTAGTATGCACCACGGCACAGATGAGCCTTGGAAACGTCATGAGTAAAAGAGGCCATCCACAAAATACCACATATTGTTCTAGATCTGTTTGTATGAAGTGCCCAGAATAGTCTATAGAGGCAGACTGTATATCAAGGGCTGCCGGAGCTGGGGTAGGAGTCAGAGGATAAGGAGGGGCTACTCGTGGTATGGTTTTTCCTTTTGGAGTGAAGAAAATGTCTTAATGGTGGTGACAGTCGTACAGTCCCGTGAATATGCTCGAAAGCATCGAATTGTACACTTTAAAAGGGTGAGTTTTATGGTACTTGAATGCTATCTCAATAACGCTGTAGAAGTGAGTAAAAAGAAGTCAATGGAACTAGAGAGTGATTTTAAGTCTTTCAGGATCAGGGAAGCAGTCAGAAGTTGTTCATGGGAAAAAGAAATGATGTAGGAATAGAATACAGTCTCAGTTCGATAACCAGGGCTCCGTTTTCCCCTCCTTCATTTTTTTAATGCAATGCCCTCGGGCCAGTTTCATGCTTAAATCCTCCAAATGCTTTCTGTTGTACTTAGAATAAAATTCTGGGACGCCTGGGTGGCTTAGTTAAGTGTCCAACTTCAGCTCCGTTCACGATCTCACGGTTCACGGGTTCGAGCCCCGTATGGGGCTCTGTGCTGACAGCTCGGAGCCGGGAGCCTGCTTCGGACTCTGTGTCTCCCTGCTTTTCTGCCCCTCCCCCTCTCCTTCTCTCCTTTCTCTCTCCCCTCACACAAAAAAAAAAAAAAAAGCTAAACAAACAAAAAAAGAATACAATTCCAAGTCCCCGTTCCTGCACATCTGACCTCTGCTTACCACTCTTACCTTACACTCTTCCCCACCCCACCTTTCTTTTCTGTTCCTTGAGCCCTCCAGGCTCACAGCTGAAACCTGAGGGTTTTGTACTCACTGTCCCCCTACCTGGAACATCGCCCAGAGATCTTCACGTGGCCGACTCTCTTGCCTCCATATATTAGCTTTAGATGGCAGCTCCCACAGGCCCTTCCCAACACTCTCCTTATCTGGAAAGATGCTGCGTTAAGTCCCTGAAGGACGCGAATCCCCTTTTGGGTGCTTTTGGGCCCTGACTCAGAGTTCTAGCAGCAGCTGGGGACAGAGGAGAGAAAAATATGGATTCCGTGGAAAGCAAAACTCAGTATCTCAGTAAATCAGTCTGGCACAGTGGAAGCTAATCATCTTGCTCCCCAAACAGCCACTCGTCCGCTACCTTTATTTATTTTTTTTTAATTTTTTTTAAATTAAAAAAAAAATTTTTTTTTTCAACGTTTATTTATTTTTGGGACAGAGAGAGACACAGCATGAACGGGGGAGGGGCAGAGAGAGAGGGAGACACAGAATCGGAAGCAGGCTCCAGGCTCCGAGCCATCAGCCCAGAGCCTGACGCGGGGCTCGAACTCACGGACCGCGAGATCGTGACCTGGCTGAAGTCGGACGCTTAACCGACTGCGCCACCCAGGTGCCCTCATCCGCTACCTTTATAGTGAGCTCAGTAGTGCCGCTCTCCTCCTGATCCCCCAGAACTCATTTTAACGCCTGTATCACTTAATTGTTTTAAAATAGACAAATTATGGGCTCCTGGGTGGCTCAGTCCATTAGGCATCTGACTCTCCATTTCGGCTCAGGTCACGATCCCAGGGTTGTGGGACTGAGCCCCGCGTCAGGCTCCACACTGAGTGTAGAGGCTGCTTGAGATTCTCCCTCCCTCCCTCCCTCCCTGTCTCTCTCTTTTTCCTTCTCCCTCCCTCTTCCTCTGTCTTCCTCTCTCCCTCTTCCTGTCTCCTTCTGCACCTCTCCCCTGCTTGTGCTCTGTCTCTCTCAAATTAAAAAAAAAAATTAGAGCAATTACTTTTTATCACTTTTGAAAAACGGGAAATAAACGTATGGGGAAAAATCTTTGTATTGTTCCACTGTTGTGTCAATATCCAGTACATTACCTCTTCGGTTCACTTAACTCAGCCATTAAGGATCTTATAGTGCAAAATATATTTGATCTAGAGGTGCCTGGGTGGCTCAGTCAGTTGAGCGTCCGACTTCAGTTCAGGTCATGATCTCACAGTTCATGAGATCGAGCCCCACATCAGGCTCCATGCTGATGGTGCAGAGCCTGCCTGGGATTCTCTCTCTCCCTCTTTCCCTGCCTCTCCCCTGCTCAATGTTCTCTCTGCCCTGCCCCCTCTCAAAAATAAATAAAAATTTTTAAATAAAATACGCTTGATCTATATTAAAGTTTGAACGTCTTAGCCCAAGATGTATAAGACCTTTCACAATAGGGGCTGCCTAGCCCTTCCAGCCATCCTTCCCATTTTCAGCAAATACTTGTTCAATGCTTGGTGTTTGCCAGATTCTCTGCTAGACACTGGAAATAAAAAGATAAATTCTTGGGGTGCCTGGGTGGCTCAGTCGGTTAAGCATCTAACTTTGGCTTAGGTCATGATCTCATGGTTTGTGAGTTCAAGCCCCGCGTCGGGCTCTGTGCCGACAGCTCAGAGCCTGGAGCCTGCTTCAGATTCTGGGTCTCCCTCTCTCTGTGCCCCTCCCTGCTCGCTCTCTCTCTCCCCCTCTCTCTCTCTCTGAAAAATAAACATTAAAAACTTTTTTAAAAAAAGATGAGAAATCCCTCCTAGCCTGCCTCCGATGGGCTTAGAATCTCACAGGGAGAGGAGTAACCACCGCGGCACTGATGAGTGCTCGTATGTAGGTACCTACAGGCTGAGGGATGTCCAGGTCTGGGCAGAGGAAGCAGGAGAAAGGGGAAGGTCTGAAGCAAAAGTACCCTGTCTTGAAAGGCGCAGACTCAGGAAAGAACATCGTTAAAGAATCCCGGTTGTCCCCCTGGAATGTGCGTGCTGGGGGGAGGGGAGATGGGCCGGAAGCTGACTTGGGCCCGTCTGCAAAAGGACCTTGTCAGCCAGGCTGAGGATTTGGGGTTTCCTCACCGAAGCTCTGGAGAGCCACTAAAGGGACAGAGTGATGGCAGTGACGTGATCAGACTTTCACCCCAGGGGATGCACCCCCACAACAGTGTGGAAAGGCCAGGCTGGAGGCAAGGCAGAACAAGAGCCATAAGGGCGCCAGTGCCACCGTTGTCCCCAAGGGACTCCTGGACTCCAGGCTCATCAAAACATCCGGCCACCCACGTCGTGCTCTGTCACACCACAAGCCTTTGTCTGTGCCCTTACCTCTGCTTGGAATATCCCCCCCACCCCCACTATTCATCTTCCTGGCAAACCCACCCCTGGAGCCCAGTTCAAATGCCCCCTTCTCCTCTGGGCAGCCTTTCTTGTCCCCTCTATCTGTACAAAATCAACTGTCTCTTCCTATCCGTTCCCATGGCACTTCACAAATCCCCCGATCACGGCAAACCATTACGCTTCCCCGTTAGCCTGGAAGCTCACGGAGGGCAGGGACGTCCTCTCTGAATCTCCCTCCGACTGCCCCGCTCTCCGGCACTTAGTTGGGGACTAATAATTATACGACTGAATGATGAACAAGTACGTTGCCCCCACACTTAGGACCCCTCGCTCGGATCCCTTCCTCTGTTGACATCGGGTCTCACCTTGGGGACCAGCCTGGCCCCACGGATGAGCGCTTGGGATGCAAGTGCAGAGGTCGGTCCCTTTGGCTGATGACGTTGTGTCTCCCCAGGTGGCCCAGCTGGAGGAGCTCCTGGCAGTGCGGCACTCGGTGTTCGTGGTGGGCAACGCTGGGGCCGGCAAGTCTCAGGTGCTCAGATCCTTGCACAAGACCCATCAGATCATGAAGCGTCGCCCCGTCTGGGTGGACCTCAACCCCAAAGCAGTCACAAACGATGAGCTCTTTGGTATCATCAATCCAGCTACCAGAGAATGGAAGGATGGTAAGACCATGGGCAGGCTTGAGTCTACATCCAGGGGCAAACTTCACAGGGAAGGACGCTGGCCCGCTCTGTACGGAGTGGGGGAAGGAGGTGAAAAGAATCAGAGAGAGGAAGGCACTGATGTGGGCTCGGAGGGGAACCTCAGCCCTTGGGATAGTCTCTTTCCTTGGGGACGCTTCCAGCTGCTCCGTGAGAGAGGGCATCGAAAGAGGAGAGACGAGGCAGGCATTCTCAGCCAGGGTTCTGAGATTTTAGAGCACAAGTCAGAGTCCGCTCATTGCTTGGCAGGTGGAATGAATACGTGGGCGGGATGGGGAGGCCCGCAGCTCGTTGCCCAAAATGCTGTAGCGTCTCACAGTGGACACCTGTTCCTCTCGGCACGGCCCCAGGAGTGATGGGGAGACATCACTACAAGAGACGCCATTCATCACCACCTCGGGCGGGACCCAGAACCACGATCCCTTCTCTAGCGATGCAAAGGGTCCCAAATCCCAGTTCGCTTAGTACTAAGCCCGGGGTCGCCTTCTAAGATTTAAGAGTCACTGGTAGATGCCGGAAGGAGGCACAGTCAGTGGGAGAGAGCTGAAAAGAAAACTCGGAGCCCATAGGACCTCTTTGTAAAACCCACGTGGCTTCCAGAATGAGGACCTCTTAGCTCCCTCCTCCTGTCTCCGTGTCTGACTGCATCATGGTCTGGCTGCCTGGATTCCTCTCATTCAGGGCCCTCAGTCAGGGGCCTAGAACAAGGGGATTTGATAGGCAACCTGTCCGATTTTTATTTCACTGACCCTTAATGAGGCTTAGCATTTTTTCCTCCTTCCTGGCCTTAGTAATGGACTCTTGTGATTTTCTTTCCACTTACGATGTTCTTCTCCGCTTGTACGCGTTCTTTATACGTCAGAGGTGTTACCCCTGTATCTGTTGGGTGCATTGCTAATGGTTTCTACCATTTGTCTACAGGCACTTCGTGACATATTTACCATCCACTTTTTAAAAGACAAAATTTTGTCTGCCCATTCTTTTTAGCACCTGGGATTCCTGTTTGGTTTATCACGCTCTCTCATGCTCAGCGGTAGATACGGTATCGTAAATGTGGTCCTAAACATTATTTTCCCATGAACATTTTTTTTTTATCCATCTGGAATTTATTTTGGAGCTTGGTGTGAGGTAAGATAGAGAATCAGCTTTATTTTCTTCCAAATGGATAATTGGAAGTGGCAGGACCGCTCATTAAGCAAACCATCGTTTCTCCCTGAATGTAAATACCAGCCTGTTTTAAACGCCAGGATCCGATTCCGAGTTTTCTATTCTGTCCACTTGTTATTTATCTAATCCTGTACAAATTATGATTCTACTCCATTCACAGTCATTTTAATGTTTGTTTGTTTATTTTGAGAAACAGCGGGGGAGGGGCAGAGAAAGAAAGAGAATCCCAAGCAGGCTCCGTGCTGTCATCACAGAGCCCTATGTGGGGCGCAAACTCACAAACTGTGAGATCGTGCCCTGAGCCGAAACCAAGAGTCGGACGCTTAACTGAGCCACCCGGGCACCCTTGTTCATAATCATTTTATAACATTTTAATGTCTGATGACATAAGTCTCCTCAATATTCTCTTGTAACTTTCTTGGCTGGTCCCAGGCACTTAGTATTCCATATTAAATTTAAGCTCGCATAATAGAATTCAGACTTTAAGCTCTGTGGGAATTTTAATTAAAAATTTATTAAACATACAGTATTCATCAAATCTGGAGACGTTGGCAAGGAAGATTTATAATAATCATAAATCTGTATTCATGAAAAAAGAACGTCCATGTAGATGGAAGGCAACATTTTAACATTTTCTAGGGAAGCTTGATAAAAATAGAAATGTGACAGATAACATTACTTTCTCTTGTTCAAAACTAGATAGATCCTGTAACAGAAAAATAAGCATACTCTGAGAGAAATTGAAAAAAATACGTCATCAAACTCAATGTAACACCTAGTTTTAGAACATTGGCATCTTATAAGTAGAAAATATTCTGTTCTTGGTCAGTTCATGGGACACTTACAAAAATTTGAAGTTTAATTGGGTCCAGAAGAAACTGCAGTGAATTGAAAAGTATCTGTTTCCAAGCCACATTGTCTGATAACAATGCAATAGAAGTAGAAACAGACAACAAGAAAGTGGCCAAAAATAATTGTGCTGCTTACACATCAGGAGATGCTCACTTAACCCCTAGATGAAAGAAAAAAAAATACACGGGATCCCTTCTCTGAAGCAGTAAAAAGAACATACGGAAAACAACAGGGTCATGTCTGAAACCAACAGACAGGAGCTCTAGACTTTTATTTTTGAAGGTGGTCTAGAAATGAAGGAAGGCGGTGTCTATCGTAAGAAATGATTCAGACTGATAGACTGAACCTGAAGAGAATGGGGAAGAAGAAACTTAATAAAGATACAGTCTGAAATTAATGGGAAGGAACAAAGAAATTATAGGATAAATAAAACATGCTTATGGATTCTTTGTAAAGACCAGAAGCCCGCTGTGAGCATGATTGATGGGAGGAGAAAGAGTAAAATGTAGCTGATTAAGAATTAGTAGCTGTGGGGCGCCTGGGTGGCGCAGTCGGTTAAGCGTCCGACTTCAGCCAGGTCACGATCTCGCGGTCCGTGAGTTCGAGCCCCGCGTCGGGCTCTGGGCTGATGGCTCGGAGCCTGGAGCCTGTTTCCGATTCTGTGTCTCCCTCTCTCTCTGCCCCTCCCCCGTTCATGCTCTGTCTCTCTCTGTCCCAAAAATAAATAAACGTTGAAAAAAAAATTAAAAAAAAAAAAAAAAGAATTAGTAGCTGTAAGAGCAAATAAAGATTAAAGTGGAAGAGATCACTTAATTGTATGATACATGTTAGGAAAACTAGGAGAAGAATGATCCTTTAGCAAATTATAATATTTAGGCAGTTTACTCAACAGGAAACAGAAAACGAGTAAATGGGTGAAAAGGAAAAAAATTCCAAAATGATAAAAAAGGACACCTCTCAGTTCATTTTATCAAACCAGAATAACCTTGATATCAACCTTTATGTAGAACCAAAAACAGCCCAATTTCACTTACTAATATAGATTCAGGGGGCACCTGGGTGGCTTAGTTGGTTGAGCGTCCAACTCTTGATTTTGGCTGAGGTCATGATCCTAGCAGGGTCGTGGGATTGAGCCCTGTGTTGGGCTCCATGCTGAGCACGGAGCCTGCTTGAGATTCTCTCTCTCTCTCTCTCTCTCTGCCCTGCCCTGCCCTGCCCTGCCCTGCCCCAACTCGCTCACTTGCTCTATCAATACAAACAGGCGCTAAAAATTCAGTAGCTGTTCCTAATTTTTTTTAATTTTTTGTAACGTTTATTTATTTTTGAGACAGAGACAGAGCACGAACGGGGGAGGGTCAGAGAGAGGGAGACACAGAATCTGAAACAGGCTCCAGGCTCTGAGCCGTCAGTACAGAGCCCGACGCGGGGCTCGAACTCACGGACCGCGAGAACATGACCTGAGCCGAAGTCGGCCGCTTAACCGACTGAGCCACCCAGGCACCCCCCCTGATTTAAGAACTCTAAGTAAAATAGGAATAGAAGGAAATCCCTTAAATATAATAAATCTAAATCTTTATCAATAAATCTTTATCGAAAGCCAAAAGAAGGGACAAAGGCATTCTGAATGATGAGGAACTAAAGCCATTTCCATTAAAATCAGGGATAATACAGGGAGAACAATTACCAACCTTATTCAGCATGGCTTGGTGTGGGATTGTAGACAATGCAGTAAGACAAGAAAATGGAATAGGGGCGCCTGGGTGGCGCAGTCGGTTAAGCGCCCGACTTCAGCCAGGTCACGATCTCGCGGTCCGTGAGTTCGAGCCCCGCGTCAGGCTCTGGGCTGATGGCTCGGAGCCTGGAGCCTGTTTCCGATTCTGTGTCTCCCTCTCTCTCTGCCCCTCCCCCGTTCATGCTCTGTCTCTCTCTGTCCCAAAAATAAATAAAAAACGTTGAAAAAAAAATTTTTTTTAAAGAAAATGGAAAAGATAGTATAAGTTAGAGGAAAGGAAAAAAATAATTATCTTGCTGATTATACAACTTTGTACCTAGAAAATTCAGGAGACATTTTGAAAAAAAAGAATCACTAAAATTAATATGAAAATTTACTAAAGGGGTGCATGGGTGGCTCAGTCGGTTAAGCATCTGACTTCGGCTCAGGTCATGATCTCACAGTCTGTGGGTTTGAGCCCAGCATCGGGCTCTGTGCTGATGGCTCAGAGCCTGGCGCCTGCTTTGGATTCTGTGTCTCCCTCTCTCTCTGCCCCTCCCCTGCATATGCTCTGTCTGTCTCTCTCTCTCTCTCTCTCTCTCTCTCTCTCTCTCAAAAAATAAAAAAAAATTAAAAAAGAAAATTTACTGAAGGTAATTAAGCATACAATAAATACATAGAATCCAATAGCTTTTCTCTGTGCTGGCTGAAAAGGGCAATACAGGAAAAAAAATGCCGTTCACAATAGCAATAAAACTATGAATTATTTAGGAATACATTTAGCCAAAGAGGTGCATCGAATGAAAATACTGTAAAACTTTATGAAGGAACACGAAGAAACGTTGGAAGAAATGAAAAACACATACCACGTTATTGATTAGGAAAGCTTAATATCACGAAAATAGATTCTTTACAAATTAAGAGACAAATTTAGCGTGATGCCAGTTAGATTCCCATTGGCCCTTCTCTCAAAGCCTGGGCTGTAATCACAAAGGATGAAACCTTACCTAAAAGGCTTTAAGGTAATTCTGTCATGTCCCAGTTGCCTATTGAAATGATTCTTAGGGCCCCTCGTCACCCAAGCCAGACCATCAGATTTTGTTTTCATTTTGCTCTTGTTCTTAAAAGTCAGACAGAAGCACAGAGAAAGGAGCGTCTTAGCACTCACTGTCAGATTTTCCATAGATCAAAATCCAAATCCAGTCCTGACCTGTCTCTTCCATTTACACCTTCTTCTGGGTGTTATAGCCAAGAGGGAAAGTCTGTCTGACGAGAAATAGGACAGATGATGACGTGGATGGTAAGCTGTCCGTACTTCCTTTCAGGACTCTTCTCTTCCATCATGCGGGAGCTTGCCAACATCACCCACGATGGGCCCAAGTGGATCTTACTGGATGGCGACATAGATCCAATGTGGATTGAGTCTCTGAACACCGTCATGGATGATAACAAGGTATCATGGGCGTCGGGAAATGCCCAGGCCATCCCTAATCATCCAGGAAACCAGTCCCCCCGGGCCCATTTGGAAATCTCGATCCCCCACAAGGGCTGGCCCCGAGTAAGGAATTGCTACAGGTGTTGTTTTTTTTTTTTTTTCTTTAATTTTCCCCAGGTTTACTGAGATCTAATCAACATAGAACATTGTGTAAGTTTAAAGTGTGCAAGGTGCTGATTTGAAATATGTGTATATTGTAAAAATGATGGCCGCCATAAGGTTAGTCAACGGCTTTATCACATAACTACCGGACGTATGCGTACTCACATGCTCAGTGCATTTTTAGCATTGTTGGAACTGTCTTCACGATCTTCTGCATGTAGGTTAATTTAAAACTCAGAGCTGGAAGGAATCGGAAGTCATCTATTCGAATCTTCTTTCTTAAGTTTTTCCTCTCTTGTAAAACGGACACTGAAGGTCAGAAACATTCCGAGCCTGTCGGGCGTCCTCCATGGTGGCAAACCTTGATCCGTGGAGAGTATGTTTTATTTTTCGTAAACCAGGAAATCTCGTACCAATAAAGTGGTGGCTCCTGAATTTGTTCAGAAGGTACATTAGGGTTGGAAGCGTTGGGATGGTTTCGACGTTTATAGAACCATTAAAATAAACGTGCGCTCGCCCGAAAGAACTACTTTACTTATTTTTTATTGTAGTGCAGTTGACACACGATGTTACGTGAGTTTCAGGTGCACGACATGGTGGCTGGACAACCCTCTCCTTTAAAATTTTTTTTTTTCAACGTTTATTTATTTTTGGGACAGAGAGAGAGCATGAACGGGGGAGGGGCAGAGAGAGAGGGAGACACAGAATCGGAAACAGGCTCCAGGCTCTGAGCCATCAGCCCAGAGCCTGACGCGGGGCTCGAACTCCCGGACCGCGAGATCGTGACCTGGCTGAAGTGGGACGCTCAACCGACTGCGCCACCCAGGCGCCCCAACCCTCTCCTTTAGAGACAACACTACCACCATACGATGCTATCGCAGTGGCGTTAGCTATATTCCCTGCGCTGTGCCTCTCATCCTGTGACTCACCTGTTCCATAGCTGAAAGCCTGTATCTCTCTCCCCTTCACTCCCTTTGCCCACCCTTCACCCCCCTTCGCTAGAGGGACTACTTTAAAAGAAATGGCAATTTCAAAGAAGCCTAAGCTCTTCTCTTTTCTTTTCATTTTTTAAAATTTTATTTATATATTTTGAGAGAGAGACCGCATGATCTGGAGAGGGCAGAAAGAGAGAGAGAGAGAGAGAGAGAGAGAGAGAGAGAGAGAATCCCAAGCAGGCTCCACGCTCTCAGCTCAGAGCCCGATTTGGGGCTCAAACCCACAAAACTGTGAGATCATGACCTGAGCTGAAACCAAGAGTGAGACGCTCAACCAACTGAGCCACCCAGGAGCCCCTGAACTCTTTTCTTTTAATAACCTTATTATTCCATATGGTCTAGCTCATTCAAATCATTGACATCCATTTAAACTTTTTAGAGAGCTGATTTTTTTTTTGATGCATTTACACACATAAGGGTGGAGGTCACAGGGGGGCAATAGGAAAGGGGATAGAGGATTCTTATAGAAAATTTAGAAAATACTGAGGTGCCTGGGTGGCGCAGTCGGTTAAGCGTCTGACTTCAGCCAGGTCACGATCTCGCGGTCCGTGAGTTCGAGCCCCGCGTCGGGCTCCGGGCTGATGGCTCAGAGCCTGGAGCCTGTTTCCGATTCTGTGTCTCCCTCTCTCTCTG